GAGCGTACACTGAGCGTGCAGTATGTGGGCGTGCACTATGTGAGCATACACTGAGCGTGCAGTGTGTGGGCGTGCACTATGAGCGTGCACTATGTGAGCGTACACTATGTGAGCGTACACTGAGCGTGCAGTATGTGGGCTTGCACTATGTGAGCGTACACTATGAGTGTGCACTGAGCATGCACTATGAGTGTGCACTATGAGTGTACACTATGTGGGCATGCACTGAGTGTGCACTATGTGAGCGTACACTATGTGGGCGTGCACTCTGAGTGTGCACTCTGAGCGTACACGGAGTATGCACTATGTGGGCATGCACTATGTGGGCGTGCACTATGTGAGCATACACTATGTGGGCATGCACTGTGCGTGCACTGTGGGCATGCACTTTGTGAGCGTGCACTCTGAGCGTACACTATGTGAGTGTACACTGTGGGCGTGCACTGTGAGCGTGCACTATTTGAGCATACACTATGTGGACATGCACTTTGTGAACGTGCGCTGTGAGCGTGCACTATGAGCATTCACTATGTGGGCGTGCACTGTGAGCGTGCACTATTTGAGTGTACACTATGTGGGCGTGCACTGTGGGCGTGCACTATGTGAGTGTACACTATGCACTGTGTGAGCATGCACTATTTGAGCGTACACTGTGGGCATGCACTTTGTGAGTGTGCACTCTGAGCGTACACTATGTGAGCGTACACTCTGGGCGTGCACTGTGAGCATGCACTATTTGAGCATACGCTACGTGGGCATGCACTGTGGGCGTGCACTATGTGAGCGTACACTATGCACTTTGTGAGCATGCACTATTTGAGCGTACACTGTGGGCATGCACTTTGTGAGTGTGCACTCTGAGCGTACACTATGTGAGCGTACACTGTGGGCGTGCACTGTCAGCGTGCACTATTTGAGTGTACACTGGTCAGGAAGGGGCCAGGATCAGAGGAAAGTGGGAGAACCTCAGAGGTGGTGGCTGGGCAGGATGAGTGGGGCAGAGTCATCTCCTCTTTCACCTCCCCTCCAGGCCACCCTGCCTTTCTGGGTGGGGTACTGGGAGCCGCCTCTGCTATCTGAGATGCCAGGGCCTAGCCCACCTTCTCTCTCCTTGTCTTGTTGCTCAAAACCCAAACAAACTTGGAGCTTCAGGGCCTGGGGCACACGCTCCCCTGCCCTGCCCTCCCTCCCGCTGTCATCTTCCTTGCTGACCTGCTGCGCTATGCTCCTGGGAGCCCAGGTGTGGGCAGACGGCAGCATCTTTGGAGCTTCCTCGATTGTACCTTGTGTGTGGCATCACGGTCACCTGTGTGTGCCAGACTAGCAGTTAAGCCAGTGTTAGAATCAGTACTGAGTCAATCTGTCCCTGTCACAGAGCAAGTTTATGGGACACTAGAATAAATCTGAATCTGTCCCCTTCTGCTCTGGATTTTAGCAGAAAAGTGGCTTAGAGCCATATTCCTGGGCTTGTCTAGACACAGATTCCTGTGGGTTTTGTTTTCTTTATCTGTGCAGGAATGTCTCCACCTCAGACATACTAGCCCAGCAGTATTACCCTTCTGACACCAAATACCCCGATGGGTGCAGAGTGCACCCAGTAGCTCTACAGAGTTGACCCGATAAAATTTCATGGGCTAACACTTAGCCCTTTCTTTTGTAGGTGAAGAAAAAATTTTCCCTCTACCCTGTTAGGTTCAGTGGCTGGGGGCTGCAAATTAAACTGGCATAAGACAGATCAACAGGAAAAGAAAGCATACAATTTTATTAATATTTTAAGTTTTGTTGCATCAGAACTTTATAGAAAAGCAAACAAGAGCCCTTAGATTCTGGGTGTTATATTTGTACCATTTCAATAAAGGACTGTAAATTGTGGAGAAGTAACTGGACACAGAAAAACAGATTGGGCTTCTAGGGCTGTGATAAACGGTGGGAAAGTGACTAGCAAATAGATGGGAAGCAGCAACACAAGATAATGGACCTTGTAGTAAGGTCTGTTTAGGCAGACTCATCTCCTGGGATTGAAGTGCCCTCCTCTTCCTGGTAGAGGGGTTGCCTTTCTCATGGAGAATGAATACCCTGCTTTAGGCAGACAGGAGTACAGAGAGCTCTTCTGTACCTGCTTTTACTCGGAATTATCCTCATACCACAGTGGCATATTGGGGGATGACCTGTCCTGTTCCTCTCCACTGCGTTAGGGCCTGTGTGATGTTAACCGAAGCAAACTTTTACCTGCTCCATGACCCGAGAAAGGTCAGTCCTCCGCATGGGTCTGTGTGTCCACTGCCAGAGCTGGAGCCGACGAGC